TTTGATCGAATCCCGGTCAATGAAAATCTCCCCCCCGAGTCTATTCCGCATTTTAATTCGTTATTTAACCCGACCGCGGCAAAAAGAAAGGGTTGGTAATATCACCGAACACGGCGGGAAGCCGTTCAATTGAATTAATAGCCGCGGTTGATTTTTATTACGTTTATATCGATCTCCCGCGGTGGCTGTGTCGCTTAATTTGCCGGAAAAGTTACCCGACCAAGTTTTAAACTCGCGGTTGACCGTCTGCCATTTTCGCCGTTTTTCAGGACGCGAATTAGATGCGCGTCTGTGGGGACTTTTCTTGGAGAAATTTTTCGTCTTCGGTAGGTGTCAACGGGGGCAATTGCTAATCGATCGGGATCATTTTGGGAAATTAGGAATATGGGTGACAACGAGTCGTGGGATCTTCTTCTCGTCGCTAATGTCGCAGACGCGGAACCGCGTCCTCGAATTCACCGCCTCGCCACGCCTTGGAAACTTAGAGGGCTTGGAATTTGCGAGTGTCTCACATTTGGATTTAGAATTTCCTCGCGTTCAACATCTGGACTTAGAATTTGCGAGCACATTATGCGTGCAGGCATTACACGCCAGCAGACGCTCTAGGGGAAAACTTGTGCGGCGCCTTGCGAATTTGCGAGCGCGCCGGCATGGCAGCTCCTCCACCCTCGATCGAGGCCTTAATGTCGCTTTTCGATCGATTCGATTTACGCCCTTATGTCGAGATAACGTGTCCGGGACATATTTTCACTCCCCTGGAAGGAAATACAAAAAAGAAAATATCACATTTCGCTTAGAAACGTTGTTTGTTAGACCCGTCGAGGAGGGGCACTCGCGAAGAAGAGATTTTCGATTATAGAAACGTTTTCCCCACCGACTTTCTCTGTTTTTATAAAAAGGATTTGCATTTTTTAAAAGCAGTCCGCGTTATACACGGTCCTGCCTGCCATCTACGGTAATCTGATACACGAAACCGGAAACCCTTCAAAAGGGAATTCCATCTCACGTCCGAAAAGCGAAGCCGCCCCATTCCTAAATCCATTTAAGCTTTTTGCTATGCGGTAGCGTCTATCCAGGTAAAATCAAATCATGAGCTCATCCTCTTCGGGAACGAAAAGTGACCACGATGATTTCTTTAGGCGGTCACTCGTTTTCCTTTTCCTCGCCCTTTTCCTTCTCCCTGTCGCCATACGCGTGTCGCGGAATTATATTAGAATTTTTAATTTACGTCTCGACGTAACGTTATCGTTTAAAAGTATCGCTCTACGCGATTTAGTAACGGTCGTATTAACGAGAAATGTTATCGAGATTAAAATGTAAAATAATCGTCGACGGGAGCCGACGTGTAACGTGGGGTTCGCCCCTGCTTTGAGTACTCTTTGTCCGTTCAATTTGAATATAATTCACGTGAAACGACACAGAGGCGTAATGTTTCGAATAGCGTGGCTCGTTCCCACTAAAATTCCAATGTCCGTAGAGTTTTGTCGGTGGGAATCGTCCCGGTTTTCACGGCAGGATCAACGCGCTCCGCCGAGGTGCGATTATTACCGCAACTTTCGGTTAAAAAAAACCCTGTAAACATTTATTCCTCCCCGTAAAGGTGACGCGAAGTGAGACCTGGAAAATCCAGCCAACGGAAACACCAGCGAGCACGTAACGCGTTGTCGCAGTTAAACGTTCTTTCCCAGAGCGGTTTTTAAAACGCGTAGCTTGAAATATGGAGGAGTACCGGGGAATACTTCAGAAATTACGTGCACGGTTTTGCGCGTTCTCGCATTTTTCCTCACGGGGCCGTTTGTGCATTTACAGCGGAACATTGGCGAAAGAAAGTTAACGAAACTCGTCGCGTTGTAAAACTGAAATACGTCTCGACGCGCGTTCCATGTTCGCGAGGAACGCAATGTCGAATTGTTTGCTCAACAATTGAATGAGTTAAGAATGCCCGATGAAAATATATACGATTAACATCGATCTGGAAGGAACAAAGACGAGTTGCAGAATTAAAGTCCGCCTTGACGCGGGTTTTATGCTCGCAGGAAATGCAATGGCGAATTGTTTCCTTCAAAATTGAGCGAGTTAAGGACGGCAGATGAAAATATACACGGTTAACATCGATCTGGAAGGAATAAAGACTTTGGTCCTGAGGGCATTCCCGGGAAATAAAGGTAATTTGTGAATGAAACCGGACGCGCCGCACCTCTTGAGGACGGGCAGAGATAGTTAATCACCGGTAGTAACTCGGTTCGGGGAGGGTTTTTCTTTACAGCGGGCGTAAGATCAAAAGGAAACGGAGCTCCTGGCCGGTCTTTTTGTTTTCCTTGCGAATGTAACATCTTTTAAACCGATTTGAATTACTTTTCACTTCAAAGGTGCACTCTGGACGGGCAGGTGTACATACGTATACCACCGTATACATATGTACGCGTACATGCAGTTGCTCGGTGAGACTACTTTGAGCGGAGAGAAGTCCCACTGGTCTAATATAGGAGGAGCGCGGAATGGAGCTCGTTATTAGGGACGATTTTGTTGGTTTGCGGCACGCGATATTAAAGCCAATGAAAGGAGGCGAATAACCACGCGCGAAAGAAAATTAACGATATTACCCGCGCCCGGGATTCCGGAGGTTTATAAACCGCGGAGGAATCCGCGAGCGCGCCGTACCGGCCCTCGAAAAGCGTTCCTTCCTTTCATTCCGCACCTGTAGGGCCGGACTTTTTGGAGCGTGGCGAAAGCTTGCTCTTACGTACATTTGCAGCCTACCGCATTCTCGTCTAACAATGCCGGGAGCCGTAAATCATTCTTTCCCGGTAATTCTCAAAGGGGCAGCCTCCGTACTAACACGACTCGCCGACCACATCGGAGCTCGAGTCGCAAGGATTCCGCTCGGAAATTTACAGAAACCCGGACGTCCGGAAATACTCTTCGCGGATGCTCCCGATGAGGGGCTCGTCCTTTTTATAAAGGACTATACTTTTTATAAAGGACTATACTTGGCATTATCTTTTCTCTCACCTTTAGAAGACGATGAACCGACGCGCTCGTGGAGGGCTCTTCGGCGAGATGGCAAATCGGATTCTGCATTTTGAAAAGGTTTCGTCAAGTGCTGCGTCTAGGGCTCGTTCGAGCTTTCGATGCTGATGGTGGAAATTCGACCAGACCAGGAAAGGGCTCGTGCTCTTTGGAGCCCGTAGGGTTTTCCCTTTTCTTCTCGACCTTCGCGTATTTTTGAGTTTGCCTCTGGTGCCAGGTCTCGGCGAAACGCAGGAGATTGGTACACCTGGTGAACGAAAGGCTAAATCGCTCAGGGCACTTTTAGAATTTTATCCGACGTGCCTTTCTTCATTTTCACGTGCTTTACTGTAATCGGGTTAAATGGGCGTGGTGCTAAAATATGAACAGTCGGAATTTACAGTGGGATAATTAATGTTCAGGTAATTAACATTAGGAGAATCGCGTTTCTCCAAATTTTAGGAATGTTTTCTATTTCTTACAGTTGTTTCATTTTTAAATATATAACTCGATATTTTCTTCCCCCTTTTCGCGTTATACCCGTGCTCCGTGACACGAGACGTAAAGAGTCATCGCCTCGGGGAACGTAACTCGATTACCGAGGTCTCGTAATCAGTTAACGTACGGGAAACTAAGAAACGTCGGCTCCGATGCATCCGAGTAATGAATATTTATACTAACCCCCGCCCTCGTAAAGGTCCTCGGTCGAGGGAAGGCGTTCTTCGAGATCCTTACGGATACAATCCGGTTTATTGTAAAACCGCATAACGAGGTCTCGTTCTACAAAATGCGGAGGATCCGCGCGGACACGCTCGTATCCGAACAAAGCGTCGTACGTAACGACGCACTCCGCCGCGTGCCATTATTGCTGCGGTTGTCGCATATCTGATTGTCGTATTGTGGGAAACGGTAGATAGGAGAAAATGTCATTCCTGAAGGTTCACCACGGTCGTCGCGCAGAATTCTCCGGAATCTTCCACCTTACAGGGTGGTTAAAAAATCTAGGAGGCCGCGCACTAGGGGTCGAAATTCCCGTAGGAGTCGAAATCGAAGGGGTTGCTCCGGAATTCCGTGGAAATCGAGGATCGTTGCGACTCTTGGTCGGGATTTCCCCGAAAGTCCAGCTTTTGGTCGCTATTTTAGGTGTTTGTTTTCGGGCCGGATCACGTCGCGTTGTCGGTAATATTTTTCCGAGTTACGTTCAAGGAGGGTGGTTTTAATACCGGGGCAAGGTTCAATTCGCCACCCGGTAGGCAATATCGCGCGGTTTCGTACTTTCGAAATAACTGGAGCTGGCAGGTTCTGAAGAGGGGCTCAGACTAAGGAGGCCGGATGTGGACCGGAGAAGTGCCGAATACACTTCATCGCTTACGCCGCGCTGAATCGCACCCCGTCATAAGGTCTGGGAACTTGTTAAGAGCCGGCGCTTTATGAAACGCGTATATTCTTTAAAAATGTTATTTTGTTTGTTAGGCGATCGCAACCCCGAGCGCGACCGGGAAAATAACGCAGGGGTTAAAGTATCCGCGGCTTCGCAATTACTCTAACGAGCTCACCTACTCGCATTTCCCTTGGCGTCCATTTTCCAAAAGTTCCTCTTGGACGTTTTTCCCCCCGTAAACGACGTAGAAGCGATGATAAGGGCACCTGGCACTTTTATTTTCATCTCCCAGGGAAGGGTCCGTCAAATTAGGAATCATATTTTGGACCGCGTATTTGGTATTCTCGAATTGAAAATTCTCGACGTCCATCGTACCGAAAATATCGACTACGGCCATGTCGGCATGCGCGTGTCACTCATTAGAGGATCGTTAATAAAACGTCGATAAAGTCGTCTGCACCGCTGGAACAAATGGCCCTTGAGATGCCAATCAATTTATATATTCGTTTTGTGCTATTAAATAACGCACTCGTGTACCCCAGCGATCGAAACGCCTCCCCAAGTGAGGTTATGTGCGCGGGCCAATTTTCGTGTTTTATTTCCAATCGGGTCGAGAATGGATATTTCTTTTATTTATCCGTAAACATTTCTAGCAGTATTTACTCGGTTTCGACGCATCTTTGAGTAGACGTTCGGGCATCGAAGATGAGCATTGATTAAAAGTAAACTTAACGTTAAATCGATACCAAGTATCGCGCTTGTACGGTGACTCGTAAAGCGAGTCTCGTCGTCATAATTGACGTATTTAATCTAACAATTAGTCGCATGCTAAACTCGGTGGATTCTTTTTGACTTAAATCGGAGTAAAGAGGATGGCAGAAGATAGCTCGAATGCGATCGCGATAGGTCGATCGAGCGATCGCAAGGGGCCGAAATTATGGATTTTGCCTCGCGGTGTCGGCTTCCTTTGTTGGCACACTTTGATACAAAGCTGCCCTTCTGGCATCTTGGCGTCTCTGCTCGTCCTTTGTTAACACCGTCAGAACGAAGCCGATCAGAAGCGCCGTACATAGGCCAGCGTGCACGACGACGTCTCCATAAACTTCCATTAGTTTGCCCAGGATTATGACCAGCACCATGCCATATACGTTATTTGCTATGTTCAGAAATCCTGTGGACACTCCCTCGGCTTCGGGATATGTATACTCGGCACACAGCTCGTAGCCCAGCGACAAATATCCAGACATGAAAAATCTGTAGCAGGGAATTTCCATCATCGCATTTACCTCCATCGAATCCGATCCACTGAGAAATGGCTTCGGGAAGGAAAAAAACATTTTTTCTCTCCTCCTCGTAAATCCTCGCGGCCTTTTAACGAGTGATTGCGCGAGTACATACCCAAGGAACATGGCCGATGCATATACCATCCATTTTAGTTCCAGATACAAGAAAACGGCGAAAAGAATCTGGCCGCACAGGGCCAAAAAGTAGACCGTCACGGCGGTTTCTCTGCAATAGTCGTGAAAAATGAGTACGGCGTCCTATTGGAACGGTAAAAATAATTAACGGACGTACTTGAACCTGTGCGTCTTGTCCAGGATCACGCCGAAGGTGACGGATCCCATCATCCCCATGACTACGATTGCTAATCCGATGCGACCTGCGTCTTTCTCGCCGTTCTGGAACGCGACAAAGGATGTACATAGAGTCTCGTGCAGGTGGATTTCCGTCAGGCGTTCATTAATGGCTCGTATTCACGACCTTCGCGTACAATGGGGCATGCCTCGTCGAGGGAACATTCGGAAAGGGCTTTACGCGGAAGGGGAGGTGCTTTTTGATCCGTACTTGCAGTCGACGGAGCGCGAGATAAAAAAACTTCGGATAGAGTTCGGTAAGTACCCGAGCGCGTGCTCCAGATTCTTTTACCGCGTTATCGGAACAGGCAAACGTGAATGGAGTTTCCTGTCTACCGTTGAAGGAACGACCGTGTTGGTAGAATAAACATTCGTCCGGAGAAAATTTACCAGGGAAGGGTTAAATCGATAATTTGTTGTTTCTTGATATCGAGCGATTCTCCATTAGTCGGATCTATCGATAACAATGGGGTCGATTTTCTTTGACGGTGCAGTAGAAAAGCGGAAGTCGCCTTGAATTCTTAGGGGTTAGGATGGGTAACTAGAGTGCCGAACTTTTTTTCTCGAGATTTTCTTTCGCTCGACAGGAAGGACGTTTAGGCGCGCCTAATCGAGTAAATGGACGCGACTCCGTTCTTCGCGTTCATTTCCGCTCCCACTCGGGAAGACATGCAGAGGGGAGCTTGTACTCTCGCGAATTACCGAATAACGGCTGTACCTCGAAATGTGTGAGGTAAATTTGATTGAGCAAAGTGGCAACGACGTTGAACGCCCCGATGTTCATGCCGTACGAGTTGCACAGAAGCAGGTAACTCTTGTTGGTGATCAGTCGTTTCATGGACCGAAGGAAGCTCTCCTTGGTGTCGTTTCGATTGGCCTTCTGAATGGCTCTCGTCTTGCTCGGCGGCAACTTTGGCTCATCCTGGAAAACTGTGATTATTTTAATTAATACCAGGACGGGGCGCGCACTAATTGGCAGAGGATAAAAAGGTGAGAATCTGAAGTAATGGAAAAACATTCGCGGAGAAGCGATTTAGATTCTGAGATCTACTGGCAATAAAATGTCGCTTTGATCGTTAGTCTTAAAAAAACTCCCGCCTTCGTTTACATCGGGCCAATTAATGTTTGAAGTAAATCCCGGGATGTGATTATCCGTGACGAGCGGATATAAATCCAGGGTTCGAAAAAACCTGGCTTGATTAGAATTATAAGTCAATCGGTGTTGTTTATCCCTTCCTCTGTTCAGACTCACATAGGACGACGAGGATGAATCCCACCGTGGTTATGACGGCGATGTACCAGTAAAGTCGCGACAGGTCTTCGCCGATGTCGTCCAGGTTTTCGTGGTTTCTGACGATAATCGGTGTTATTAAAAATCCGGCGGACACGCCTACCAATGTTCCAAAAATCCCAAGCGACGTGGCCGTTGAGAGCTCTCCTGCATCGAACCAATATGCCGCGAGGTGTCCGGGAACCGAGAGAATGAGCACCTGTTTTTGCAGGAAAGAAATCCAGTTGAAAGCTTGTGAATTCGGCGGTTTGGGGAAGAATTTTATGTCAGAAAATTCCGACCATGACGAGGGAAAAAAAGAGCAGTCGTGTATGCAAAATTTCGAGGGAACCTTGAAACGAGTGTGAGCAAAGTTCGGAGTGCCAGGAACTATTTTGGAGATTTAATATTTTTAGTCTGTGAGAGCGAAACCTTGAAATTTGTCACCGCCGCCATTTTGTAGGCAGCGATATTGCCGACTTGTTTAAACGATCGGAGCAATGGGAATGTTGTCCTATCCGAGTTATCTAAGATCGGTTCTGTATATAAAGCTGCGATTCACCTGACTCGCGAGTAATCTTCTTTGAGTAATCCGATCAACGATCAACAGCTCGACGAACTTCCGGAACTTCCGAAACTCGTATACTCTAGTTTTTAGCTGTACATTTAGAGACCTTCTAATTCTACGACCATTGACAAGTCGCAAGTTTCTCAACTTCGATACTCCCTCGAAATCGACCGAGACAGTTCCCACGTTAAAACATTTAGGGATGATTCCCTTAATGCGGGAATAACCCCGTCTAAGTAATCCGATTATCGCAACCCAATTCCGCAAGCTTTCCAACTTCCGAAAACGCGCGTACCTCGGCCTTCGACGTCGTTTTCAAAATTTCGTCACGATCAAGAATCGCGGGATCATTTTCCGCTCCTTGAACTGACTTGTCAGAAATTAGAGGAATTTTTTTTACCTGAATATTACCGTCCAGGTTTTTTTTTTCCCCCGGAAAAGACTACCGGCAAAAATCGAGACGGGCATTAGATATTTTTTGCGAGAGATTTTTACGAAGCCCCCAACAGGTGTCGCGTTATCTACAAATCGAGGGGGAGGGAAATTCAACTAAATGTTATTTTTTTTCTTATGGACGGCTGGATATTTCCAACGTTAATATAAGGAAGTAGAAAGATTCGAGCGAGAACGGAGAGTTAGGTTAGTAAACGAAGAGTTGTTATCGTAAAATTACCTGTGAGCTGGCGCCAAGGGACTGTCCAATAAACGTCACGTAGAATCTATCGGGTGCTACGGAGAAGATCTTCACCCAGGCTCCCAGGCAGCTTATAGAGCTGCCTAGGATCGCGGTCCATCTTAATCCAAACCGATCTATGAAGTAAGAAGCCGGGAATATCAGCGCTACGTAGTACAACATGTACGACAGAGCCGTCCAATCGACGGCTATGGACGACACGTTGTAATACCTTGAAAGAGAAATAAGAATATCAATTTGTCAGGATTAAGCCAGCTACAGCTGCCAAATATGACTCTTTTCACGTTGAACCATCGAGGAGACGGTATTTCGCTGTGCATCCATAACGCGTTTTCAAATAGTATCAGATAAGAGATCGACTTTCGTCCGAGCGAGTGGAGTCGACTCCAAACTTTCTTCGTTATCGGCGTGGAAACAACCCGACGTGCGAAATCTCAGTGTCTACACGGAGTCGTTGCACAATATTTGGCAAATGAGTGGCGTTTTTTCGCGTCTCTCGAAGAAGTTCCAACATGACGGCACGTTCGCCGAGCGACTCGAACGTCCGTCTTCTGCGACGCCCTCGGTGAATTATCGAGCGTAACCAAAGGCACACAGAACGGCGGACACTACCGATTCGCTCGGGTAACGCCGCGAATATTTGCTCTCACATCCATTCAGTGATTCAAGCGGAGAGTGACGCGTGGAAGAAAAATCTGCAAACCAAAGTAGATGTTTACCTCGAGACTATGTTCGATATTATCGAGTACTCGATCCACTGGAACGTGCTTCCTCCCGCGTAGAACATGAAGAGGGCCAAGATGAGCCACCTCCTATGGTACACCTTGAGAGGCAGAGAGTCGGTCTGGATCAAGTCGTTTCGCTTGACGATTTGAACGGCGTTTTTCTTGGCCTGGAGCTCCGCCTCCCTTTCCTTGGCCAGTCGGGTCATTTCTAGGGATCGCCTTTAAGTTCCGAAATTAGGAAAGGAAATCGGCAGGCGGTCTCTCGGCTGTCATCTCGCTCTTCTACACTAGCTGGCAGATCGGCCGACCATTGGCACTGGACTTCTTCCTACACTACACGGATTGTCACTCGGCGATCCTAGTTAGACATTCTCCTCCCACGCTGCCGGCTAGTTTTCCGTTTTTCTATAAAGAAAGACCGGTTGTTCCCTTCCTGCGACTCGACTAACTTTGGCAAGCGTCACGGTGAGTGATCGCGCGCGAGTGCGACGAGTGTCTCTGACCGAAGCCGATCGAAGCTTTTCCTTATCGGAGCTTCTCCCCGATAGCGCGCCGTATGGCCCGCGAGAACGCTTTGCGCCTTTTCAACATCGGGATTGTTATCAGTCACCTGAGTTCGACGGATTCGGAGATCCTGATTACCGATGGTAATTTTCGAGAGGTTGGTTGGCGCTCTTTGGGCGTTTTGCGGAAACGAATCGGCGGTTTTGGGTGGTTTCGATCCCTCGACGTCGAAACGACGGAACGACCCAGGGACCGTCTTCTCTCGTTGATCGAGTTTACTGGCCGCATTGCGCTCTTTCGACGCAACGACGAGACTCGGCTCCTCCGGGATGGGAGTAAGTGCTCGTCCGTTGGAGACAACGAGGGTCCCCTCGTGGAAGATGATTTGTCCGTTTCGGTGATAAGGGCCCAAGTGGCGACACGCGGTTAAACGGGACTTCTCAATTCAGAGCGCGACTCTCGGTTAAGGCGACCTTCGATCTTATCACTCGCGGTTCTCCTCTCGGCAGGAGCGACGCGGCGCCATTTTCCACGTCGGACGACGTCTAGGGATAAAAATGGGGAAACGACGGATGGCCGGTCTTCTTGATGTTTGGATGTTTCCTTCTTCTAGGGGTAATTAATTTTCGGGGTGCGGTTTTACCCGGGGCTGTTGAATAAACAGGGTCCTTGCGCTCTCGAGACCCGGAGGAAGGACGATCCAGGATGTACTGCATGAACGGAGACATGTAAATCACTTCGAGGAAGGTGTCTGCCGCTCCCTGACGGTGACGTCAGTGTCTGCGAACCATTGTGGAAAAATCGTAAATTTATTTGGAGGCGACGCCGTCTTCCGGGAGGAAGATATTTATTCAGCAGCTGCGAGTGGTTGTTCACGGTTTAAGCGGCGCGTACGCTCCGGTGATGGGACACTCGAAATACCCGTCTTTATGATTTATCGATGCCGATTAAGTCGATCGAGATGGGAAACGAGCGTGTCGGTGGATCCCGCCGATAAGTATATCGATTATACGTTAAACGTTCCGGGAAAATAGAAAGGAAAGGGAGACGGGACTTTACGTGCAGAGGAGATCGAATCGAGGAAAGATGATCCAGGAAAGATGTCGAAGAGATCGAGGAAAAATTGTTTTGGAGGGGCACGATTTTTGAGAGAGCAAACCGAAGATAGGTAATCCAGGAAAGAAATCCAGAAAATTGAGAGCATGCAAAAGTTTGATTCGTTTCGGAGAGCTGACTTTTGAGAGGAAATCGAGGAAGGAGAATCGAGGGGCAGAAAAATTTGGAATTCTTTTGGAAAGCTCGATTCACGAGGGAGAGATCGGAGAGGATCGATGCGGTCCTCGTTTTGAGTCGTCTCGTATAGAACGAAGCTTCCGGTTATGCAATCTGCATGGTTCATAGGCGGTACTTTGGAGCTCGGAGATACCGTCCCCTCATCCGAGCTAATGTGCTACCTCTTTCATAGTTATTAGCATAACCGAATAAGCTACATTAGCGGAGCAGCAAGAGGTGGTTCCTTTTAGCCTCGACCGCGGACACTGGCCCGGCTAGAATCTTGAGACGTCACTTAACCAACTTAATCCGGAATTAACTTAGCTGTGGTTCACTTACACCCCTGATGAAGTATGCCGCAACAATGACGTTTGGTCTATTAAATCTCGCGGCCACCGAGTTAGGCTGATCGAATTATCTTTGAAAACTTAACCACCACTCGCGCTACGGTCTCGTCCTTCGCGATCAATCGACCCTTCGTCTTCGACCTCGGCATGCTGTGTAGAGTACCGCGCCAAATACATACACTCGGGCTTATAACCGGGATTAACAAGCGCGGCACAGACACGCAACTCTCGTTCCTCATTACTACTCATTAACCCGACACGTCAGATGGGACCAATGATACTTTTCCTGGAATCGAAGTAACGGAAATTTTATTCGTCATGTACGATTTCCAATTTTCCTCCGTTTAATGAGGAAGTTTATCAGCGCGGGACAGATCATTGCCAACCGGTCGAGGACGATTCCTTCGCGAAATTGCAGGTGTCGAGGATAGAGAAACTCGAAATTGGCACATCGAGGATGGGACGGCGGTTACCGTTTTGCCATAATTAGTCAAGAGCGATCTCAAGACTTAGGGTTAATTACGGGGAGGGACCATTCTTGAGTTTCGCGCGGTTCGAGCGGCCGGGATTAATTGGTGCGTTTTGATTCCCTCGACGTGGTAACCGATGGAGAAAAAGGTACGACGGCACAAGTTGCTCGCTAATTATAAGTTTGCCGGCACGTGGCTGCTCGTTAGACGCTTCACGCATAGCGATCGCGGCGTGTCGAGGCTTCTCCGGTAATTGGCACGCTCCGTCGCGACGGCTCGAGATGTTTCCGTTATTCTCCCTTATTTTTCTTATTTCCCTTTATTTGTCTTTATTCCTACATTTGAGGTGCTCCTGGGTACCAACCTCGGATTTCCTCCGGGGTCTTTACCCCGAAATTAGATCATACAACGCATTTATGGGAAGCAAGTCTCGTTGTCTTACAGGCAGCGGTGATCGCAGAATCGTCTTTGCTAATCATTCGCCTCGGTAAAATGGTATCGACTCTTCGTTTCCATATTTCCAAGGAGTGGAATACAAGGAAAGGGGGAAAAGATTCACCATGGGCCGAGAAGTCTAGCCGCGGAGGTTCGGCGCTCGTGGAAAGCGACCTCGACGGTAAACGGCGTCCCCGAAAGCAATTTCGTTCCCCATAACGAGGTTTTGCGCTCTTCGCGGACGAGCGATGACCGAATCCTGATTGCTGCCGTTGATTGTTGCCGGCGTTTCAAGTGGGAACGAGTCGGATCGACGTTTGCCGTCGAATTAACGGGCCTCCCTTGTGCCGGATTTCTTTAAAATTAAACCGCGCTCGGTTGTTCCTCAATGCTACTCGTATCGCGTTTGAAATCGAAGGGCAAGCTTTTTTGCAATGTCGAGCAGAATCCGCGAAAACGTCGTCGCCGCTCGAAAAGTTGGATTTTTAGACTCCGCACTTTTTGACGAATTACGAATTTATTTAAAATTATAACCATATTCGATCGTTTCTGTCGTTCTAAAAATCGAAGGGCAAGCTTTTTTGCAACGTCGAGCAGAATCCACGAAAACGTCGTCGGCCGCTCGGAAAGTTCGATTTTTAGACACTTTTGTCGAGCGAGGAATTTATTTAAAATTAAACCGTATTCGATTGTTTCTGTCGTTCTAAAGGCAAGCTTTCTCGTCGCTCGAATGGCAAGCTTTTGTCGCGATACTGAATGCACGGTAATGTCATTGCCGCTCAAAAAGTGCAACTCTCCGAGCTAGAATATATACGCAAGGTCGTTCAAAGATGCCGGATTAAGCTCAGGTATTTTGGTTGAAGCTTAAGCGAGCTTCTGGTTGAACTTGCGGATCTCATGCTCCGTGACCGGAGGACGGCATCGGAGAAGCTCGATGGGCCCGTGAGCTTAACCGAGCGCCCGCTCGCGCTTCGAATGAAAATAGTGTCCCCAAGAACGCTTTTCCGAGCTTAATCGAAAGGTCGTCGGGGAAACGACTCGGTCGACCGAGAGTAAAAGGCACTTCGAGCCCGAAAGTTGGACCGGGGCGAAGTTTGTCCCGGATCGTTAGGAGCGATGCGCCGGCATAAAGGCCGGGATAAGGGATCGAGTTATGCAGACGAGATATCGAGCGAGAAGAGAAAAGTGACGCGTCCATGACGGGACGCATTTAACCGACGTGACGATTTGCTCGAAAATGAAACGCATCGAGAGCAGCCCGACTCCAAAGGAGAGACATATTCCTATAACGGGGAATTCATTTTTGACGAGAACGAATTTCACTCCGCGAAATGGCTGTCCGATGATCCAGCGAACGCCTCGGGTATGAACCGTCCAGAACGGAAGCATATCTTTGGCCGGAACTGTTGAAACGTACCCAGCGGGTTTGGGAATGCAAACATTAATTCTCGCTTCGGTTAGGCTAGAAATAAGTGGTGAGTGGATCGCTTTGAGAAACCTACTTTTGAAATCAAGGTTAACATTTACTGATAAGCCCAGGGCCATGGTTCCGTACAGGAAAAGCGTAGGAAAATCAAATACAATCGGTACAACCCCTTGTGATAGGGCTGTGAAAATGTCCCAACGGGATGTCCATCGCAACAATCTTAAATATTCATTCATAGGCTGTTAATGAATTCTTCTTAGGCTTCAATACAAATTTAGAAATAAATCTTAATTTTATAGAAATTTCGTTGCGCGGTAGAGAAAAGCTTTTCTGAGGTATCTATTCCTTTGATGTATCTAAGGGTAGAAAAAGTCTATTCGGTAGTACAACGACGACGAAGAGGAAAAATTAGAGTAAAAATAGAAATGAACGAGATGCGTCGGATCTTTCGTGTCAGGTGGTCCGGGAGATCGTCGGACGTCCCTCGGGAAGAGAGAGATCCGAATCCGTGGTCAAGGTCCGGGAGAGGAGGAAAGCGAGATCCCGGGCGCGTTCTGTGTTACGACGTGGCCGATTACACGTCGTTACCGCTCGAATAATCGGGAGGGTTACAGGGGCTTAATTTATCGCGCGACGTCCCTTGACCTGCATTGTGCTCGAAGGAAATTGTGTCGCGCGCGGTGCGCCGCCAATATCCCGGTTATGCCAATCGGCGGATATTATCTCATCTCTGTCCCTGGACCAGGCGCCCCCAGCCTCGCGCAATCTCGCCAGCCCGCTGCCATCTTTGAATCGGAGCGCTGCTTCTCCGGAAAGCTCGCGGAAAAAAGGAGCCTATGGACCCTTATCTTTGTTCCTACGTAACCTCGTAGCAGGGATTTTCATTAGACCGTTCCTTGTCCGGAAAAGCGGATTACGTCGGAATTCATTTCCGACCGCTTGGAGACTCTTTCGCGAGAACTCTATCGATACGCGATCGGCGCGACCGCGCCTCCTCTGGGTCGGTTCTTTCGCTTTTCCGACCCGGAAACAGGGAGGAGGAGAAGGAGGAAACGGCCACGTGCCCGTATTTCACGAACTCGACTTTATGGGACG